TACATTTTAATATTAGAAATAAATGGAAAATAAATAAATAATAGTTTACCGAGTGGTCTTACAAGTTTATAATCAAAAAGTTTAAAAAAATGTTCTGGAAGATACTTGAACGAAAAAGTTCGGAAGTCTTCGGAAAACTAAAGATTTAGTACCCTTGCTGACGTTTGCCTTTCGGCTTTGCGCGGATATGTAAGAATAGTTATGCTCGTAAACGCTGAATTTGATAAACATATTTTGCAAGACAGAAACTCCTTTTTCAACCGGTTCTTCCTATAATACAGCTATATAATAAAGTTGTGCGATCTTGATAAGATTTGGCTTTTACAAAAACAGAATAGAATAATTAATGCCGAATTTGTTTTTTAGTATATATTAATAAGCAGAGCAGTTTTTCTGTCCGATTGGAGTTATATTATATAGTAGTCCGATCCGTCTGATTGCGACATATGAACTGCCTGCAATGGAAAGACGGACCTTTAAAAAGTTTCAACAGGATAGCTTTTAAACAGAGAGATTAGTTCGCATAGACACAGACAGACGATCATGGCTATATCAATTCGGCTGATGATGCTGATTTACTAGCTTAACTCTTCTTTTGTATGATGCGAATCTGATCAAGATAAGCTTAGCATTTCCGACCTTCACTATTCTCATATATTTTTACGGGTTATTCTACGCTGTCAATATATGAATAAAATACTATGAATATCGGATTAATATAAATGCACAGAAAATCTGCGAAACATATCTTAAATTAAATCCCATAGAGTGGGGCAGGTGGAAAAAGATATATTAATAAGACTGCCTCTCGACAGTGTATACAGAGAATCTCCTAGTCATGTACTCCTGACTAGAGCACTTTAGCCTGTTTTTAATGTCGTTATATCTGTGTTTGTCTATGTATGTCAGTTACTACAAACAAGTCTGTGGTAGTATAATTAATATATGTATATACATAATGAATATACAACCAAGACAACCGAAGAAACTCGTTTTTTCTTGTTTTTTATAACATCTACGTAAGCAATGGTGTTTCGATCAGTGTAGGGTTGTAAATACTGTTGTTACTTTTGCGACTTGCGACTGCAACTTGGGCGGGTTTTTCCAATAGAAATTGAGTAAATACGAATGCTAATCAATGCGAGAGCGAATTGAAATTTAACGATACCCATTTGGAGGTCACGACAGTTGCATTGGGATTGAGAGTGCTCGATTGATTGCATCCAAGCGAGCGATTGGGTCCGAGTCAAGTGCCAGCTTTATTGCAAATAGTTGTTATACCGTGATTGAAGCGGTTAGTTGAACTAGCTAGCATTGGTAACCCATCGATGACGTCGCACGTATTACTGTTGCTATTACTGCTACTGGCAGCTCAGCTACAGGCACAACTTGAAGTACCAGAACGGAGGGACGATGGTAAAATAACTACCCAGTGTGATCTTTACGCACAAATTATAAATGAGAATTTGGCAACCATTTACAGTACCTACACACTTTGGGAATTGCTTAACGGACCTCGGCTCTGGACAATGTGTGTATCGCAACAACTGTGTTTTTCCTGAATATTTGAATCTACTAGTTGTTGAGAGCAAACGACAATGCTACTCGCTGCAGAGACCCGGATTGGTAAGTTACAATTTGTTTGGTGAGGGAAATGGGAGAGGATAATGGAAAGAGCGTTGGAACAGGGTGAAAACCCAGTACGGTATATTTTATTACTAAACAATTTGTTCATACAAACAACATATTAACGAACAATTGCTGCTATTGATGGGACCATATGATAAAGTGATCCGATCCCGCTAACGCCTACATATGTACATACTGCCTATAAAAAAAGTAGACGAAGGCAAGGATCATGACGAAATCTTTAAAACTGATCAAATATTACAGTTCTGATCAAGTATTCTTCTAAACATCATTATTTTCGATCGATTGCTCCTATGATATTGAAGTTCAATTTGATAGGGGTCTTTTTGATATGATAAAAAAGTAGTTAAGTTTATGATAGCTAACATTGACATTGCCTTAAAAAACAGAAGATTTTCAAATGAAAACACATTTTTGACCGATGATTTCCTTAGAGCTACAGTAATCCGATGTTGATAAGAATTTGCTCACTTCTAAGTATTCATAAATGCTAGGTTTAGTCAATGTATCTTAAAAAATAAAACAAATCTTTTTTTAATGTAAGAACTTCATTTTTGACCGCTCGTTTATATGACAACTATATCAAATAGTGGTCCTATCAGTCTAGCTCCGACACATGTACTGCCTGCAACAAAAATACCGCCCTTTGCTAAATTTTGTAACGAGAACCTTACAACTAAGACACAAGTAAGCTTAGAAACGTACAGACGGACATGACTTTATCATATCGGAAGTTGATACTGATCAAAAATATGTGTACTTTATGAGGTCGAAAATTACATATGTTCATCTTAAGTCTGATAATATGAAATCTCTTATTAACAGGTTTGTTGCCCTAGTGAACAAAATGTTTTGCCTTTGTTGTCAGTGCGAGTATCACAAGGAGTTCAAACAGAGAAGCAAGAAACGACAGAACTTCCAAGGTATCCACACTGTGGCGCATCTCTTGCCTATAGAGTGATCGGGGGCAAAAACACTGAACTATTCGAATTTCCCTGGACTGCACTATTGGAATATACAGTACGCGAAAATGGCAATAAACAGCACATTTGCGGTGCCTCGTTCATTGCTTCACGATGGCTCCTTACGGCAGCCCATTGCGTTCACAATCACTTTGTTGGAAATTATCGAACATTGACAGGGGCCCGTCTGGGCGAATGGAATAAAACGAGCAATCCAGACTGCATAATCCAGTTGAATGGAAAGCAGGAATGTGCGCCGCCACACGTGCAAGTCAGCATCGATCTAAAAATTATGCATCCACAGTTTGACTTAAGAAACTTCACTCATGACATTGCATTGCTGCGTCTCGCACAACCGATTGATTGGCACCAGCATCAGCACGTGGAGCCCGTTTGCCTACCGCCAGCGCGTGGCTCACGCGCCAATCAGCTCGTGAGCAGCGCTGTTGACGTTTCAGGCTGGGGCGCTACCGAGCAGAACAATCAGCCTAGCGCCGTAAAGCGCAAGGCCGTACTCTACGTCCAGCCGCAAGAACAGTGTGAGGCGTCTTTTCGCCAGCTTGGCTACACCATTAATAATGGTCAACTTTGTGCCTCAGGTGGTGTTAACGTCGATTCTTGCTTAGGCGATTCAGGTGGCCCGCTCACCGTCGAAGCGTACACGCCCCAGAAAGATCACTACGTTTATCAGGCCGGCATAGTTTCCTACGGCAAAGAGATTTGCGGAAAGACAGATTTTCCCGGCGTATATACAAGAATCAGTACTTACATGGACTGGATTGAAGAGACCATATACAACAACAGCAATGCCCATGGAAACATTTAGTTAGAAACAGGGACTTGAAGATCTCCTTATATGCAATTGCTGTAAATTGCAAGTCACGAAAGGGACGTAACTTTATCTGTAAAATTGAAAGTGAAAGGAGTTTATTAGTTCTTTACAATGTCCGTCCGTCTGTCTATCTGTTTAAATGAGAATAATTTGCTCACATGCATTTGAATAATTGCCTAGTCTATTAAGCTAACAAGGCCGTTAATAAGCTTTTCTTAAACATAAGGTATTATTAAAATCGGTTCGAATATGGGCGCACCTTTATAAAAGACAAAATAAAACGATTACCCTGTGCCAAACTAGGTTTTTTCATTTTAAGTCAAATGATATGCGCAATCAAAAAGAAAATATTTCTGATCGGTCCATACCATACATACATCCTAAGTATTTTGCTTTGACAATGAATGGGCTTTAATAGCTTGATATATTTATGGAGTCCGAAAAAGTGCCTCCTGCTTTTTACATACAATTTAATAAGATCGTGCTACCCTCTTGTATCCATTTTCAAGAAGTATTGGATGTAACAATTAAGAGTGCTCTAGTTGGAAATGCCCGCAAGCAACAGCCCTACAACCTTAACAAGAAGCAGAAGTAGATCGCACTCAAGGATTAGCAAATACATATACTTTTCTTTAGGAGAAGCTACATGTCAAATTTGGTGACTGTAGCTTCTAAAACCTAAAAGATATGTTAAAAAAACGGATTTTTTATGTACATTTTTATTTGCTTGGAAAATGGGCTAGTTATCGATGATATGAAAAAATTCTTAATGTGAAATTCTGTTTTTTTTTAGCATATCTCTAAGTCTTTGAAAATGTTGTATGCAGACATTTGTATAGTATGCACAGATTCAGAATATGATATTTTGAATACCTCTCCCCGTTGTCTAAAATGGATTTCCTTAAAATTTCATAACGATCGGACAGTAGACACGGAAGTATGTATATTACGTAAGCATTTCTAATAGTATTGCGTTATTTTGTGTGTGTGTGCATTGCTCTGTATATGTGTGTATAGAATGAAGCTTGATGTGTTTAACAGCAGCTCGGCGCGAGGTGCAGAGAATCTCCTAATCGGACTTAATCTTTTTGCTCTTACATATTAAACGATGATTTCATACATGTCAGCATTACTTGATTTTATTCATTTAAGAAAAGCTTATTAATCGGTCTACAGAAGACTATTACTTTGCTATTTATCCAATAGTTTTTTAATCGCCTATATGTACCTGTAGAAATCAGGTGTAAATTTGACCTTCAGATTTTTGTTTTCATTCTCATACATTTTTGAAGTCGTAAAATCCGTAAGAAAGTGTGGCAATAAAGAACTATTTTTTTAATAACAAATTATATAGCTCTGCAACCATAATTAAGAAGTATAATGGTGTGTACGACTTGTTCGTTGGAAATTAAATTAGAATCGGTAAAGACGGTAAAGGTAAAGTAAGTTAAGCTGACACAAATAAACAAGCCTATAAAATTGCCCCCGACTGCAACAATCTTGTTTCTTGAATTTCTTTATATAAAAAGCAAACCACAATATTTATGTCCGTGGAATTGTGCATAAATCATTTACGTATAAATTACTTTTATTTGTTCACGTGCAAATACATGCACGAACTTAACTTTTACATTGCTTATAACTGTTTTTACGAATGTATATATTAAGGGAATTAATAAATATTAAAAACAAACCAGCTACATAACTATAACTTAATGGCAATAAATAAACATTAACATCTATGGAAAAAATTGCTTCTCAGGTAAGAAGAGACTTTTGTGACTGCCTTCAGTCACATTTTTTCTCACTTGTTTCTCGCGAAGATGACAGCACGTCGGCAGCGATCACGATGATCGCGCATTTTCCCTGCCGGACAGGGTCGCTTCACGCGTTGGGAGATGAGCAGCTGACCGGTTAATGTTTTGCTGTGTGGACTGTAGAATATTAAGTGGCGTGCCTCCGTTGTTCGACAGGAATGTGCTAGCAAGAGCGCCAAAATGCATCCCACAGCTAAAAGTAAGCGTTGCAGTTTCATTTTGACCGGCCACTGAATCAAATTCTATTAGTTACTCTTGGCACTGCCTGTCCCGGCAACTCGCGTGGAATTCACTAGCAGCTTGGTTACCTGCAGTCTTATGTTATGACTGTGGCCGATCGCCAATGTTGTTACCGTAGTCGTCGACGCAGTGGTGTCGATATTTTCAATATTTAATGCGGCGCTGTCAGATAAGATAAGGGCATTCCACTGCATGCGATCCAGTCAGAGATAAGATAAGATATAAGCGGTTTAGTCTTCTGTACACCTATGGTCGAGAACCACATTTGTTACCCCTGGACTGTTACTGGCATCAGGCAGAAAGCATTTATGGTTTCTATTTTTGTACCTTAGTAATGGCGAATGGGCCGGAACCTACTTTGTGACGAAAGCGGGAATCCACTCACAAAATACCAAGACAATGCGTCGCGGCCGCAAATCGTTGACGTCATCACCATTATCACAATAGGTCAGCTTGAGCTCTAATCAGTGACGCTGCTTCCGGCTGCGCTCCTATTAAAACTGCTGCATTTGAGCTGTGCGCCTGAAATTATTCTGCGAAACTCCATGAACAAATTAAAAGCTTTGCGGAAAGTACAAAAGGTGATTCTATCATTTCCCGTACTTTACGCAAGCTTTTAATTTTTTAACAAAAAAATCTATGTACATATATAAAGTGAAATCCCTAAATATGCTAAACATTTTGAAAGATGGCGCCTATGCGCGTTTTTATCAGTGGTCGCAAATAACAGTCAACACTTTCTGTCTGTAAAATAACAGTTATTGTCAGACAGAATGAATAAAGGAGAAAGAAAACACACAAAGTTCTGTTTCTATGTAGCAGACTCTGGCACGAGCAGACACTTTTCTTCGTATTTTTTTCGGGAATGTTATTCCACGAACACTGAACAGAAAAAATTGCTGCCAAAGTGTCTTTTGTGCTTGTGTGTGTCTAATAAAATTGCATGCATTTTTAATTGTTAAGCTTAATATTTAATAAAAATAACCATACACATAAACATACATACATACATACATATATAAACAAACTATAAATTATTTAATGGGTGTTTTCTTATATCTTTGAATATATGCATGTTCACATACATATGTCATACTCTCTCTTTGACTCTCTCGCTCTAGTTTTCATTGATATCGTCACACTACAACAACGAGAAAAGACACTTTTCGCTTCCACTTTGTTCGTTTTGCTCTTCAAATACCACTTCAAATATACTTCAAAATCCTGTTAAGATCTTACTGTTAGACATAACAGCGGCATTTCTCAAGCTAAAGCACAAACAGAGTACACATTTGCTACGAAATAAAGTGTTCGAAGGAGAGCAAAACCGAATTTGCTTCGTTTTTTTCTGTTTATTCGAGACCCGACCGCATTGAAAATAAGTGTTGACTGTTATTTGCGACCTCTGGTTTTTATACTCGGAACAGGAAATAAAAAGAGTAGATTTGAAAATATGTACATAGGTAAAAAGGGTATAATGTGTTTGTGCAAATGTATGTTACAGGCAGAAGAAAGCATCTCCGACCTCATAAAGTACATATATTCACGATCGGCATCAATACCCGAATTGATCAAGCCATGTCCGTTTGTCTGTCCGTCCGCATGTATGAACGCGTCGAGCCTATTAGAGCTAGAGACTTGAAATTTTGAACTTAAGTCCCAGTGCCCCCGCAATACGAGTTTGTTTCCGATATACGATAACTTGCCCCGTTTCCAAGCAACCGATTAAAAACGATACTGAAATACTGTTTTTTGAGCAAATCTCTTGACATGTAGCTTCTAGATGCAGACACTAACTATACAATGCATAAACATGTCAAACAGCGGAATAATCGGATACCGATAAATCGTCAACGACTGAGCCCCATGGGTGCCCGCGGCCACAGTAAACAAAAATATTAGAATATAAAATATAAATATTTCATTTGGGTAATTTAAGTTTTTATTAAATATAAATAAATCAGATTTTTCTCAATATGACTGACTGGACGAAGAAATACATGATAGAGCATTTGAATGTGTGTGCCACAGGCGCAAAGGGCACACAATTGAAGAAAAAATCTCTGGCTCGCGACAAACGCCGCGATCTACTTGTGCGCACATCCACACATCACAAACATATGTATGTTTGTAGATCTCGGGGTTTTTCAGAAGCTATGCAGGGAGAAGGAGATGCACACAAGTGCGCAAATCAATAAGAGAGAGCGAGGCACACTCTGCACATGCATACACACATGTATGTTTTTGGGATGTAAGGAATTAAAAACTAACATACATACATATGTATATGTATTATGAAAAGGCATCAGCCGCAGCGACGTTGTGCGCTGAGCGAGATGCGGCTTCATACTGAACATTCGGCATTCCAGGCCGGCGTTCGGCTGCCACTCCCAGCAGTCTTACTTTGTCTGGGCACACTAAAATAGTCGCGGACAACCATGGGGCTCAGTCGTTGACGATTTATCGGTATCCGATTATTCCGCTGTTTGACATGTCTATGCATTGTAAAGTTACTGATACAGATCTAGTATTTTTCAATTTATAGTTAACTAGCGGGTATAACCCGGCCTTGCCCGTGGCAAGTATGTTATAAAATCTATGTTCTCATCCAAGAACTGGGCTGGGACGATCCGCTACCTGAGAGTCTTCTCAGTAAGTGGAATTTATTTCTGCAAGAATATTCGGCCCCCAGTGTGATTCGCATTCCTAGATGGGTCGAATTTCGCCCACAGGGGACTATTCAATATCACGGGTTTTGTGACGCTTCGCAGCGTGCATAAGGGGCCGCCACTGAGATACAAGATCGCATCTCAGTACATCTCCTAACAGTGAAAACGAGGGTCCCTCCGGTCAAGACGGTATCCTTGCCACTAGAGCTGTGCGGAGCAGCACTTCTGTCCGAGTTATCCGCTGCAGTCCTCAGCTACCTTCCGCTGGCGGCGACTGGTTCTATTGGACAGACTCCAATTGGCCATTCAAGACCGATATCTCCAATGTCGGCAGATCCTACTGATCTCTTAGCTCTGACTCCCGGTCATTTTCTAGTCGGGGGTCCTCTACTTTCCGCCACAGAGCCAGAGGTCAAGGAAAACGCCACGACCATCATCAACCGCTGGCAGCGCTTGAAGGCTTTGCAAAAACAGTTCTGTCTCCGTTCGAAACATGAGTATCTTTTAGAATACTGCCCAAATGCCTAGCTCACCAACATTCCGGGGATTCCTGTCGCCGCAAGGACAAGTGCCGCAAGTGCCAGGGCGACCATCACACCCTCGCGATCTTCGGAGCGATCCCAGACAATGCGCACCACCAAGGCCCAAGTGCGAAGCTCCGCGCCGCCTTCATCCGCTGGTTCCATCTCCCTGTCCACCTTGATGGAACACAAAAGGACGACCGTGCTCCCGAGAGCACTAATCCGATTTTGGAAACGGCAAGGCGACCCGCAACACTCGGACACTTTTAGACCCGTGCTGTCCGGTAAGTCTTATCGACGAATCTTTGGCAAAGGCCTCCGGTCTATCCGTCACCCGCGTCGGTACAGACAACGCTTGCTCGGCCATCATCCGTTCCAAGACCTCAGTCTTCCAACGAGAGCTCATCCTGTAGGTGCTGCCTACGCTTCAGTATCGGACTCCATCCAAACTCATCAGCGAGAAGCTAAATGAGCCATTTCAGAATGTCCGATTGCCGGACGATCGCTGGTTCCAGCCGGAGACCTCAAGTCTGGTGTTGGGCTCGGACATATATCTGGAGTTAATTCTCCAAGGCGTCCTGCCGAGCCATGGCGGCGCACCATTGGCCCAAAACACGGACTTCGGGTGGATACTGTCCGGCTCACCAGTAGAAACAAAGCCACTTACTTATCCCCTTTTTGTTGCAATACTGCAAGGCGGGCGGCATGTTCACACAAGAAGTGTATCTGGCAGTCGCCATCCAACCGCCAATGTAACTCCGGAACCAGAACATGAAATTTCTTATTCACCACACTCACACTAATACATTGTACATATATTTTGAAAATATACCGACCAGACGAAAAAATAACCTTCAAGTGAAAGAACGTGTTTAATTTCAACAAGAAAAAGACAATATTTCAGAGCACAAACGCTCCCACAATTATCAACAATTAAAACAAGGCAACCTGGAAGCCCTGCGGACGCCCTACTACAACACAATCTTACTGCC